TTAAAGGAATTCTGGGAAAATTTAGCAACTTTTTAAAATACAATTTCATGTAGCAATTTTATAATCTTTTGGTCAAAATAAGTAAGCTGTAACTTAATTGTTCACAGGAAAAAAACTAAATTAAAAAAATTTAAATTAAAAAAACCCTAAAAACTAAAATTAAAATAGACTCTAAATATTTCAATTATTTGAAGGAAAGTTTATATATATAGAATCATAAAGTGTGACTTCCCTCACTAAGATAACTGGGACAACCATCCTGATATATAGAGGCTAACTCCTATTTCCTAGTCCATGTGTGTTTATTATCCCCCTGGCACAGGGATTTGAACTCAGGCCAGGACACTTGGTCAGCTTACTTGTTCAGTTGGCTTTCTACAATTTGAACCATGCTTCCATCCTAATGTTTTACTGGTTGTTTTGGAAATGGAATCCTAGGGAATTTCCTGGCTTTGGGATTAGACTGGCTTTGAACCTAAATCATCTGTATCATAGCTTCCTGAGTAGCTAGGATTATAGAGGAAAGTCACCCTAGCATCACTTATACTATATACCATCCTTTTAATAGTATAGTTTATCAAAGAAAAATGATAATACAGTATACAAAAATTACATAAACATTTGTCTCAGGGAAAGGTAAGAAAGCTAAATAATTTGAACGTCTTTAATGTTCTCATCAGTCTAATACAAAAAAAGAAACCTGTATTTGTGAGACCAAGTTAAAACTGATAAATCAGCATGAGTGTGAGGAAACATATTATATTAAAAATATTCAAGCCAATAACCAAAGCGATTTTAATAGACTGATTTTAATAGCTCACAACAGCAGCTAACACTCTTACTAAATGATATATACTATGATATATATCAGCATCTCAGCCATAAAAAGAAATACTGCTGAAAATATTACTATTATTATTATCACTTGGCAGGTAAGAAAGGGGACAGGATTAAGAGTTAACTGACTTGATCAAGTTCATCCAGTTGGCTGAATGTTTTCCTGGTAATGTTTTCCAATGAAACATGAACTTCCCAGAAGAACTATCTGAAAAGATCCTACAGAGATGCAGACTGCCCAAACAGGAGGCAGCATATTCATGAAGATCTTAAGTTCTGGATTATCTCACCTTGAATGAGGCACAAAGCTTTAATATTAATTTACTATGTTCCAAACCAACAGATAAACCTAATTTAGTTTACCAATGCAAAGTAATCAATGAATATTACATGAAAATCAACAATGTATCAACTTATCAGTTAGTATTTTAAGGATAATTCTCTTAGTGCACAGAAGAGCTAAGAATAAATGTTGTACTTATGCACAAGGTAACAAGAGATCACAGCAAGATTTCAAGAAGCTCTGGATCATCCAGGTCTTATAATTTTATCTGTCTTGATCTAGAAAGACATCCAGAAACAAATGATGGTGGCATTCTAAAGACTGGACTTCCAAAGCAGTCCATTAAGAGTGATGGGATAAGCCAGGCAGAGGTGGCTTATGCCTCTGTAATCCTAGCTACTCAGGAGGCTGAGATCTGAGGACCATGGTTCAAAGCCAGCCTGGGCAGGAAAGTCCGTGACTCTTATCTCCAGAAAACTGGAGGTGGCGCTGTGGTTCAAGTGTTAGAGTGCTAGCCTTGAGCTGAAGAGCTCAGGGACAGTGCCCAAGCCCAGAGTGAAAGCCCCACAACCAACAACAACAAAAAAGTAATAACTGGAGCAAAATCACACAGATCAATGGAATAGAAGGCCCAAGGCCCAGAAATAAGTTCACACAGCAACAGCCATCTCCTTTTTGACAAAGACACCAAAAACATACATTATAAAAGATAGCCATGTTAACAAGTTGTGCTGAGAAACTGAGACTCTTATATCTCATCCTGTACAAAAATCAATTTAAAATGGACCAGAGATCTTAATGTAAAACCAAAACTTTGAAATGACTACAGAAAAACACAGGTGTCACATTTCATATATATGGGCATAGGCAAAGAAGACTTTTTTAGTTGGAATCCAATAACACAGGAAATAAAAGCAAAAATTGACAAATGGTTTGTACCAAAAAGTTTCTAAACAGCAAAAGAAACAAATAGAGTAGGGGGGATAGCCTACAGGATGAAAAATATTTGCTAGATATTTATCCAATGAGAAATAATATCCAGGATATATAAAGAACTCAAAAATTAAACATTAAAGTAATAAATAATCAAATAAATGAGCACATAAAAAATACACACTTTCCAATGAAGAAATACAAATAGCCAAGAAGAACATGAAGAAATACTACACATCTTTAGACATCAGGGAAATGAAAATCTGAACAACATCTGAGATTCCATCTCACCCCAGTCAGAAATGGCTTCCATCAAGAAAATAAACAACAAAGGATGGCAAGGCTGTGGAAAATGGGAGTATACTCCAAAGGACCCTTACTCATTTCTGGTGGGATTGTAATAGTACAGCCAATTTGGAAATTATGCAAATCACTGTGAAGGTGCCTCAAAAAAGTTAAAAGTAGAATTCCCACATATGATCCATCCACACCACTACTGGGTATATACTCAAAACCATCAAAGTTTTCTAGAGAGAGTCCTATATACTCATATTTATCATGGCACTATTCACTACAGCCAAATTATAGAACCAGCATTGTTGCCCATCAATGGATAAAGAAAACAAGGGAGTTTTACTTGGGCATAAAGAAGAATGAAATTATGTTATTTGATGGAAAATAAATCGAACTGGGAAACATATGGTAAGTGAAATAAACCAGTGCCACAAAAACAAGTATCACATGTTTTTTCTCATTTGTTGAAACTACAAGAAAACAAAGCAAAACAAACAACCAAGGTTATAAAAGTAAAAGAGGGGACTACAAAAAAGTAGAAAGGGAAAAGAGAAGGACAGGATGACAAAACTAACAGAGGGGGGTAAATATGGTCAGAGAACCTTATATACATGTTTGGGAATGCCATGATGATACTCCCTACTGTGTACAATTTAATACGTGGCAAAAAGAAAAAGTTACATGTAAAATGAGAATAACAAAGGATCAAAGATTGAATGAGAACAGAATCAATATCACAGTGCTTAAAACAAAACAAATGAAAGATTTCCATTAGTTTGGTTTAGCAAAATACAATGAAAACTGAAGGGTAAGAAAACATAGGGTGGTATCCCAACTAAATTTTGTTACTAAAAAGCTGGCCCAAAAAGTATAAATTTATCTGCTTCTAATATACAAAAAGAACTGATGACTAGATACAATTACTCACAAGAGTTCCTAAGACTATGGGATTAGGCTTTATGTTGTCATAACTGCTAACTCTCATGTGACTATGTAATGCTAACCCTAATACACATTAGCATCAGATAACTGGCAGAGGCTCGTCTATAGTCGTAGTAAAAGCAAACAAGCAAGAGTCAATTGAGCATTAACCCAGCTAAGAGAACTCCTTCAATATTCAAGTTTTCCCTCGCCTGTTAAGAATCACAGTGACTGCTGCACAAGTCACTCATATAACTTACAAATACATCACCTTTAGTGCTAGCACAAAACTTGAAAAAGGACTTTCTTATTATATTTTGAATATCCATTAAAATTTCCTTAAATAATACATATTAGTCAAGCAACTTCTTAAAAACTGCTTTCAAACAGTGAAGATTTCTCATATTTATGAGAATTTCTCATATTTTCAGCCAAAGTACCTACAATAAGATACAAAATTCACCATTTTTCCCCCCTCTCTCCTCTGAGGCTGAAAAGCAAGATTTCATCTTAAAAGAAGATACAAGTTACTGGAAATTTGGTAGAGAATTTCATGAGAAATTAGACAAGAATTAAGATTTCTTCAGAAACCTTTAAAAAAAAAACTGGGGAGGCAGCAGGGAGTTAAATCCAAGTTGGGCCTGAAGCTTGTTGGGTAGGGGCTATACAGCTGAGGCCTAACCAGTCCTGTTTTCCCATGCTTGTTTTTTGTCTGGGTTTTTGTTTGTTTGTTTTTGAGATATGATCTTGCTTCCTGCCCAGGTATGCACCTGCACCAAGATCACCTACTATCAGACTTCCATCAGTGCTGAAATGACAGATGATACTACTATGTGTAGCTTCTCTTCAATGAGATGGGAGTCTCAAGGGCTTTTCTGTCCAGGCTGGCCTCAAACTATGAAGTAGCTAGGATTATAGGCATGAGCCATGAGTGCCTTACTAGAAACTTGTCATGCTTTTAAGAGAAAGATTAATGGGCTAATATTTGTAAAATAACATATATAATTATCTAATTTTTAAAGTTTTTTCCAAATAACCCTGTACTAACCTGAAACATATTAATAAGCTTTGATTCATCATATACTTAAAAATTTTTAAATGCAAAATTCAATTACCTTCTGCCTAAACACTTAATTATCCCATGTCCACCAAGCAGTATTTATGAACATAAATACCTGTCTTATAGCATATATATAGTTTGAAATAACACTTCCATAATGGAAATGTCATAGAAAGATTAACACTCATAATAGGCTTACTCTATTACCAACTAGCTGCACTTTATTACATATACTTATGTTCTAGGTGAGAGATCTATTCAGTCATATAACTTGAGTTTGTATAAGCACTAAATCTAGTATATCTAGTTTAAAATGTAATAGATAACCATTAACTACAAAATTTTCAAGCAATTTAGATATAAATTAAAAATATTTTTTCAACTTAAATTCACTGTCTTAGTAATTAAAATCTTTTTTTTTTTTTTTGGTTTGTGTGCCAGACCTGGGCCCTAAACTTCTCTTGCTCAAGGCTAGTGCTCTACCATTTGAACTTTACTTCCCACTATTTTGGTAGGTAACTGGAGATAAGCATTTTATGAACTTTCCTGCCCAAGCTGGCTTCAAACAAAATCCTCATATCTCAGCTTCCTGAATAGCTAGGATTACAGGAATGAGCCACTGGCACACAGCTAAAAATCTATGTTATCAACTTTAATAAATCCATACTATACCTGGTTACTACCATGGCCAAAAGGAGTACTAGATATGTTAGTGGTTACACTGTGCAAAATAATTTCTCCACTTAGAGATCCAGAAGCAATGTAGCAATCATTCCAATTGTATGTTACACAAGTTACTTCATCTTTATGATCCTGAAAGAGAGAAATCCAATTAAGTACAGTGTGCTATAATCTCTAAACAGCCGATTTTCATCTTTTTCAATTTAATATTTTCATTAACATTGTCCTTGAATAACTTTTAAAAATTATCCCAATGAGTAAGAAACTATAATCAACACCAAATCTTGGAAACACATTTTTCATAACCATTATATTAACAGCACAAGTGCTCTGAAACAAGACAGTATGATAGGGTAATTTGCTAAATGTCTCCCAAAACTGATTCCCACTGACAACATTTATTGCACATTAACTATTAGGGGAGTGCTTGCTCTTATGAATATGATATTCACTTAGAAAAGACTTAAATGAACACAAAAATGATAGAGTGAATGTTAAGTGAGTAGTAGAGGCAAAGTGTCAGAGCAAAACAAAAAAGCCATCACGTGACCTGAGTCAAGTCTGAGAACAACATAAAGCCACACACCAACTCTAAAAAAGGGTTAAGTCCTGATACACACCAGGACTCAGGAGATTGAAGCCAAAGGATGTCAAGTTCAAGACTAACTGGAACAACTCAGAAAAGGATAACTTAGGGAAGAAGAAAAGAAATCAGACACTGCAAAATGAAGAAAAAAATAAATAAGCAAATCATGTTTGAGAGAACATATAGCAGAGGTTTATATTTGCCAAGCACCTATCAGTGCCGGATATTACTATTTAATCCTTAAAAAAAAATCCCAAGAGGCAAGGGTAATTTTGCCTATGAATTACTGAAATACATGAGGCATAGAAAAGTTAAGGAACCAGTAGTAAGGTCACAAAACTACCAAATGATAGCACCAGGAGTCAATTCTACATCAAACTCCAAAGCCTTTCTTCCCACTATACCTGACTTGCTACTCAAAAAAGAACACACTTTGAGGAGATAAAAAGTGGATTGTACAGGAGGACTGCTTCTAAATATGAAATTAGCAATGCCTAGCAGGAACACAGAAAGTTGACCAAGGTTAGGATAGTTCTCACTGATTTGGTGTCATTTTAAGATAAACTAAACTTGGTACCTAACAGTTCATATACTATCAAGAATAGTAGGTACAACTCAGGAGGCTGTGATCTCAGGATGGCGATTCAAAGCAGATCAGGCAGGAAAGTCCATGGGACTCTTATCTCCAATGAACCAACCATCAAAGAGCCAGATGTGGAACTACATCTCAAGTGGTAATAGCTATAATATTCTGCCTATAACTTTTTCTATGACCTTAAAGCATTTTCTGTACATTTTCCTGCTGATTTCTATCAAAGAAGGAATACAAATAACCAACACTTTGTACATTGATTAATCCCATTATATGGGATTATCCCCATGTGAGAGTATTCCTAAAGAATTACTATGATTTAGTAAGGGAATTAGTAAGGGAATTTAGTAAGGGAAGCTCCTAAGTGTGATAAAACTTCCCGTAGACTAGTTTCAACTTTGGAAGATGCTCCCTATTCAAAGTAGGCGCAGCTCTTCAATAACTTTCATACAAATATTTCAGAATTTAAAAGACTAAAGAATAGTAGCATCTGTACTTGCATCTCATCTTTTCCACTACTAAGTTTGACACAGTTTGACACAAACAAGTTCTTCAGGATCTATGGCTCAGTTCCTCCATCTGCCCACAGAAATAATACCACATGCTTTGCAATTATTGAGATAAATAGAATAAACATATGCTAGTACAGTGGATGACATATTGAAGAGCTCAGTAAGTTAACTGTGTTCATTAGTGATGACTTTTAAATTATTTTTCCAGTATTAGATTTTAGAGTATGCTTTATAAATAATGAACTTCCAAAGGTAGTATTTAAACCACAGTCACAGGATTACATTTCAATGTTGCAAAAAGAAAACCATTCTTCAACATACCCCTCCTTAATAAGAAGTGACTCAAGGGCTGGGAAGTTGGCTCAGTGGTAGAGCGCTTGCCTTGCAAGCCTGAGGCCTTGGTTTGGTTGCTCAGCACCATATAAGCAAAAAGAAAAAAGCCGGAAGTGGCACTGTGGCTCAAGTGGTAGAGCGCTAGCCTTGAGCTGAAGAGCTGAGGGACAGCACCCAGGCCCAGAGTTCAGGCCCCACAACCGGACCCCCCCCCAAAAAAAAAGAAGTGACTCAATAACATGAAGATATGTACCAGTAATGTCTGGTACCTGCTACAAAATACAGAAGAAATGGAGGATCAGAGAATGAATAAGAACACAGAGTACCATGGCCAAGTTTTGACTTTACTTTGAAACACAAAAGGGGTTCTTGGATGATGGTATTCAGTCCAGTAACCACAGCTGCGATTGACCTTCTGAGTTCCCATAATGCATTTAGCTGCTGCTATTTGTTATTTTGACATGTGCATTTTCAACTTCAAAGTATCTTAAAAAAATCCTTGGGATAATAACAAACCACACTTCAGAAACAAGTGAAGAAGGCAGTTCCCTCAAACAAAACTAGAAATAAGTAAAGTGCTAAACACAGAAAATAAGTAATAATGGAGGAAAAGAGACAAAAAATGTTTAGGCTAGATAGTGCCTATATTTTTCCTAATAACTCACTTAAATTCTGAAGCATTTCAAGCATTTCAAGTTTAACATAAGAGTTCAAATTCAAAATCTTTACATTCTGTAAAGATTTAAAACAAAACTACTTACCTTAAGAGATCGATGAATTCTTTTAGATTTTAAATCCCAAATATTAACAGTGCTATTTAGGCCTCCGCTTACCAAATACATAGATGAAGAATTTAAATCAACACATGTCTGCTTTTGCTATTATTAAAACAAAAACAAAAAAGGTTAGTTTCAACAGAGCCCAGAGCTATTGAGTCTTCATCTAACACTTCGTATGTGATAAATATACTAAATTATGTTATAAAGATGCTAATATTCATAATTCAAAACTCATCTCTCATCTTTCATATGGATCTACCAGCTTGCAAGAATTTCAAGATTTCAAGGATTTCAAGACTTCAAGGAATCAAGCAGGTTAGTGTTTTTCACTGAGTTAATGGCAGAAAAGGCAGAGGAAACTCCTGCAAGTCTTGACTTCCCATCAGGATTATTTGCCCTTAATAATAATAATAATAATAGAACCTCTCCCAATATCTAAAAAGTATCTTAAAGTACAATCAATCCTCAGCTCAGAAAATACTGAAGAGACAGGCTTTTAAGGAACTTGTAGTTTAGATTTCTGATTTTACAGATAGGAAAAGCCTTTCAAAAGGTAGTATTCTTAATCTGAGAAACAAAGACTAGATCTACTGTTCTTAAGTGTGCATCTTCAAAACCTTTTTCTGTTCCAAAGAGTTTTATAAGGATATAGTTGGTCCCTTCCCCCATCCTTATTGGCCTAGTCAAGATTTCTTTTAACTCTTGACCAACAGTATCAAGTATCACATATAAAAATAGCAGTATACACATTACATCAGTGTTTTGATATACTTGCTACAATTCTAATTAGGAACTAGGAACTAACTTTGGTCTAAAGCAACAAAAAAAGTTGTCACTGCTAATCAGGACAGTCTGCTAAGTACCATCAAAACAGCCTGTAAAGAAAGGGACAAGGATAGTATCCACCAAACATATTAGGTAGATATTTTAGGATGCCAACTGTCACAGCTACATTTATTCTTATGGGCTCACAACAAAACACATTTGGCTTACTCATGAAGATCATTCCTTGTCAATGTATTATTAATGTAGCTAATGAACTTAAATAATTAATAGAAGTTGCATGATTATTGTAGGAATCCAAAACCTTCAAAAACAAAAAATAAAAAGACATAATTTTCAAAATCTAAGCATAAGACCTGGTCAGACATCTAGATTTTTTTTAGTAGCCTATTATATTCACTATAATACTGCTAATATCAATCTGTCTACTTTAGAGGCAAAACATAAAATTAAAATACTACTCTAAGAATAATTTTAAAATAAGTAGGGTGGAATCTTAATTCGCCATGTGGATAAAATCTAGTTGTCTCAAAAAGTACATGAATGACGAGACTTGCATCCCACCAAAAAATAAGTTATCAATAAGCAAATATGTCACACGAAATTCCTAATAAAGGCTAAGAAACTGTTTGCAAAATGTTTTTATAAGTAAATTAAGGAATATTCAAAATCAGAACCAATTACCTTATAATTCTGAAAGATGAGAAAGAGGGCTAACAAAATCCTTATGTTCCACTTGTGAATATTAAAGTGTAAGATATGATTTATAGTACAGAGTATAAGATATTAAAACAAAAAGATCCCAGAGAGTAATTCACTAATTCTAAAACATAATGCACAAATGTGCACTTCTAAAACATAATGCATAAAAGTACACATAACAGTGATGAAGGTAGAAGAAACTGTTTTGGTACTGATAAATTGTTGGCTATCTCTGATGTCAGGATCCAGGGTGATGTGGCTACTCTGTCTCATCTTGAAAAGTACAGTCTGCTCATTAACAAGGGCATTTACGGTCTCGGTTCTACTTAGCTCCATCTGAACAGGCAGAGTGCCTCAAACTCCATTTCTACCCTGTTTAGCAGACATCTTTCCTGCCAAGGCACTATGTCTAAGCTGGAAGAGATTAAGGCTATAAAAACTCTGAAACTAAGGAAAGTACAAGCTACAAGCTATTTATACTCTTCTTTTTGTAATATGTATACCAAATTTTATTTGGGATTATTAATATATGACATCATAAAATAGCATTCATCCTTATTGTGCTTTAAATATCAACTTTATTATTTAGCTTTAATTTTTACAATTAATTTTAAAATGTTGGAACTACTTAAACATGTAATTAATATGATTTATATCATAAAATATAGGATTTTCTTTAAATTCTATCTTATTTTATTGTAAGGGTGATGTCAGAGGGGTTACAGTTACATAAGTAAGGTAATTAGTACATTTCTTGTTGTATTGTTACCCTCTCCCTTGTTTTCTGCCACTTTCCCTCCCCCTCAACTCCTCTCCCCAAGTTGTAAAGTTCATTTCCAACATAGTGTCTTGTGCATATTGCTAACTTACTCTGTTTAAAAGAGCTATCAAGGAATATATGTGAATGTAAAGATAAAGCCAATGTGATCCTGAATCATTCAGATGAATTTATAAAACAAAAGGGTAAGGAAAAAACACACCATAAGAGCTTCATGTAAAGGTCGCTCAGGCAGGCACTGTAGTCCAAAGCAGACAGAATCTGAAGTAGAGGGCTACTATCAGGGCTATCATGGTCATTTTTCTGATGGCTCTGAGCCCACAGTCCATTAAAGGCAGTTATAACATTACAGATTATATGGTCAGGCAAACATAGTAACCTAAGGCATTGCAATGCACAGAAGGTTAAAAAAAGAATAGGCAAGGTAAGCCCCTAGCAAATGAAATCCAAGTCCTCAATTGCTCCCCTACATGTCAATGTTATTTTACTTAAAACATTTCAACAAGCTGGACACTGGTGGCTCACATCTAACTACTCAGGAAGTTGAGATCCAAGGATCAAGGTTATCTCTAATTAATTACCAGAAAACCGAAAATGGAGCTGCAGCTCAAAAAAAAAAAATCTTTAAATGCCATTGTATTGCTAATAGTTTAGGCTAATAATGACTCTTGTTGGGTTTTGTTGTTGTTGTTTGGTGGCACTGGAGTTACGAACGCAAAGGCTCCTGCTTACTAGGAAAGCAGTCCATGGCTGAGCCATGCCTCCGGCCAATAATGACACTTTTAAACAACTTTACATTTAGCTACAAGCTTCCAATAAATAAGCTATGGCCACTCAAGCAAAACTAAAATTTTAAATAAAAAGGTTATATTTTAAATAAATCACTTACCCCTTCAGCAAGTTCCAAAAGTGGAACAGGTTTACATTTGCAACTTGAAACAACTATTTTGTCACCACCAGAAGATGCTGTCACTAGAAAGTTATCTAAATGAAGAGTTAGGGAGCATCAAACAATTCATGAGCACCTATAACCCTAGACTATATAATGAGAAAGCACTTATACAAGCAAACACTAAGACAAGTAAATGAATATAACTTATATGTTAGCTTTCAAAAATAGCTCCAGTTACAATTACTAATTCTCTTTCTTACCATTCTAAACAACAACTCTTCCTTCTAGCTATGTGATCCCTTGAAGGCCATTTAACTCATATAAAATAATACTTCCTTTTCTGGGTAAGTCAGAGGTCTAACTTTAACCTTTAGGAATGAGAGCATAATAAAAGCAGCATCAGTAAAAAACAGAATTTCCATGCACAAAAACTTTCAAGATACATTTAACAATCCACTGCTTCTTATTACAAACTTACACTAAGAGTCAAGCATTATATTACTCTCCCAATTTTCCCAGTTAAGAAAATGAAGATTGAAACTCTCTCATAACTTGAATATTTGTGGTAGAATGTTTTTATCTTAAATATACTAAGAATGAATATCATAATCACTATAGTAAATATAAGTATGGTTAAATTGTAAATCCTAACTGTCTATAGATTTTATCCTTATTTTAAATTATAGTCTTAGAACTATAATTATCTTATTTTACCTAAATTATACCGAGAAATGAGTAAACACAAAATAATGTATTTTAAAGGCAATGTGACTAAATATAACATAACCAAGAACAAAAGTCTGATTCTGAGTCACAAATTAAAAGATCTAGGCCAGCAAGGTCTACGTATAGGAGCCAAAAACTATAGAATACAATCTTTACTACAATGTTTGCATAGTTTGTGATAACATATTTTATGACTAGAACATGGATTGTAATTTTATTATATAATTCAAACAAAATCATATTTTACATGACTTTGCTAGTTTTATTCATATCTGAATTCCATTGAAGTCAAGCATAAAGTGCCACCTTGTATTCCAAAAATGTTTTCAGGTAATGTCCCAGGTGTTCTTGAGTTAATGGTCACCATAAAATGTGGGCCCCAAAATGTCTTTAATTAGAAGTCTCTGGTTTTTGGAACCATCAAATAAATCACCATGGTACTAATATTCACCCAGATGCCGTTCCCTTTGATGCTAACATGCGCCTCATTTTTATATTTCAGGTACATTTAAATATTGTAGTAGGCATAATACATGGGTGTCAGGTGGAAGTTTCATTACTAATTATAAAGTAATCTGTGTTCCTACCTAATTTCTGGAGAAAACAAAATCATCCCTACCAACACAGTACAACATTGTCAAACAAAAATAAACCATTTGCCTTTTTTTTTTTTTGCTTTTTCCCTCTGTTTACCACTGCTATTCCTTAAAATGGAAGAAAAGAAGATAATATAAAAAGAGTACGCTATGTACTTTTTAATTTTGGCTTTAAATTTCACCATGAGAAGGTGAAGAACACAATCTGAAGGAAGGAAATGAAGGAGGGAAGAGATAAGAAAGAGAGAGAAAAGAAGGGGAGGGAAAAAGAGAGGAGAAAAAAGGGGAGGAGGGAAAGAAAAGGGAAAGAAGGAAAGGAGTAAAGGAAGGGGAAAGCAAAAGGGAAATGAAAGGAAAAACTACAAAAAAGAAAACTATGCACACAAATTCCATCCTTGGGATCTATGATATTCGACTCCAAGTCTCTGAACCTGGGAATCTTTGTGCTTCAGTAACTAACCTCCATGGAAGAAACCAAAGCTTCATTAGGAATACAATACACACTCACTTATTTCTAGAAATCACACAAAACAATGACCTCCTAGTGACATCAGTTTGTTGATAAACCACTAATATGTATGTATGTATTAATATGTGTGTATGTATTTTGGTGCAGGTTCTGGGACCAGGGTCTGGACACTCCCTGAGCTTTGTTTTGCTCAAAGTTTGTGCTCTATCACCTAGGCCACAGTTACAGTTCCACAGTTTTTGGTGGTTAATTGGAGTTCAGAATCTCATGGATTTTCTTGCTAGGGTTGGTTTTTGAACACAGACTCTTAGATCTCAACTTCCTGAGTAGCTAAGATTATAGGTGTGAGCCACCAGCACTTGGCTATTTATTCTTAATAAATATTATTAATAATTATTTTTAAGTGCCTGGACCTTGCTACCACTTGTCTCCAGTTGAAAAGGCAAACACTCTGCCACTAAGCCTCTCCTCCAGCTCTTTTGTTTTTAGTTTTTTAAATAGAATCTCCTATTAACTTTGTCCAGGCTGGTCTCAAACTATACCCAAATCCCATTCTCCTATCTCCACCTTAGAATTGTTTCTTTTTTCTTAACAGTAACATAACGAAATTAAGCTCTAAGCATAATGAAAATCTAAACAGAAACAGAAACAACTTTACATTTTTGCCAATCTCCGTAAGACATTTTCCCTACTATGCCTTGAAGAGTCCTTTAAAAATTTAGTCACTTCATGAGTTTGAAGGGGCACTAAAATAATTTATTTTACTACTTCAATATAAAATCAAGGAATGATATAGATGCAACTTCAATAAGAAAAGTTGTACAATAACTGTATACAAGTTAAAAATATCTGTAAGGTGTTGGGCATAAAATGTTCAAATATTTTTGTTCATGAATCAGTCATATTTTAAAACTCTCCAATTTTTTTCTTTATAGGGAAGAATGTTAATACTCTGATTTTGATAAGATTGGTAAGAAATAGTGTAAGTTTCAGAAAAGCACAATTGTTGTACATCAATGATATAGAATGTTTTCTTAGAGTGATGAGAGTACTCAAACAACAGTGGGCCTCAACTGCGAGCAATTTTGGCAATTCTGGGGACATTTTTGGCTGTCCTAACTAAGGGCTATTGGCATCTAGTGGATAGAAGCCCCCAAACTTACAAGTATCCTACAATACTTAGAAAAGCTACTACAATAAAGAATTATTGGGTCCAAAATGTTAACAGTGTGAACTTGTTACAGGCTTTGCTTCCACATTTACTACATCCACACTTTGGAGCACACCAAGACAGGGAAAGTTATCAATCAGAAAAACTTATAAAAATTCAGTCTAAACAATTTTATTATTTGTTTGGGAACTGTTATAGAACACAAAGAGAACATCAGTTATGATGGATGATAGACTCTGCCTTTGAGTCATTCATGTCTAGATCATAGTCACAAATATCCAAATGTATATGCAGAACGTCATTCTAAAACCATTGGAAGTTTGCTTAAAACTCTCTGTACTATTCCATTTGGTTAGATAGTAAACTTTTGATAATACAACTAAGTCTATGGTCTTGATCTAGAGAACAGATATTTTCATTTCACAGCACAGACATTTTTTCACCAACAATAGTATTTTTAAATGACTTACACTGTAAAATTTTTTCAAAAGGGAAAAAAAAGAGTTCATTTATATGTACTGTGTTCAAAAAGAAAAAAAACATGTATTTTACTTTATTGTAGCTACACAAAATATATTTCTTATTGTGGATCATATGCATAACTTTTAATTTTACTAGTTGTAAATCATAAAAAAAAGGTAGTTAGTTAAAAAAAAAGGATACTATTGCTGCTCCAACACATTGAACTGATTCCATGTGGTGCCGTGTGAGGGTTGAAGTTATCCACCAGTGTCATAGATGAAGCATCCCATATTTTAATATCATCTCCTGATGAAGCAAATCTGAGGTTTTCCTGCATGACTGAGCCTATAAAAAGTTTACAACATATTTTAAAAGCAACAAATAGACAATTTTTAAAGTTAAAATGATGCATTTAGTCTGAAACAAGCAATTCTACTTTGATTTTTATTCCAAACATTGTACTAACCATAAAGTAGTTGAAGATTCAAAGTAGTTGAAGCTATCTAGCCCACAGATCAGATTACATACCTTAACTGACCCTTTCAATAGGCCCTCAAAGCAATTACAATATAATCAGGCCTCCTTAGCTTGTCTTCCATGACAGACTATCACATTCCTATGTAACTCTCCTACCTCTCTTCCCTGAGACAACAAATGGGACAGTGGCTTTCTTTCTGTCTCAGACAACAAGGCAAGGTTATTCTCACTTTAGTCTCTTTTTATTTGCTGTCCCCTCTGCTTTAAAATCTCTCCCCAGATTCCCCAAGGCCATCTCCTCTCATCATTCAGGTCTCAGCTCAAATGTTTCTGCTTCCAAAAGGCCTTTCCTGACTGATCACTGTGACTAAAGATCTTTAGTAATTATCCTATATTTCAACCAGCCAATTTTGTTTTTCTCATAGCATTTATTATCTGAAATTCTTACTTGTTCTCATAACAATGTCTGTCCCCTCATACCAGTCTTGAAACATTCGTAGTACATAGTAGGTACTAAAAAAATTGATAATACCACATTTTCAAGAATGACATTGCCCCATTTGTTAGGAAATGGTAAGACTTGGAAAAAATTGTATTAAGTGAAGTAAGCCAGGCCCAAAGAAACATAGGTCCCATGGTTTCCCTTATTTGCAATAACTAGTATATGTCTGAGACAAGCAGAAAAGGTCAGATAAGATGATGTTAGGAGAAATGAACCCCAAGATAAGGACACAAATGGATTTTTTCTTTTTTTGTTTCTAACATATTTATAAGGTGATTTTTTTGTTGCTTTGTATGTCCCTCCCCCACAGTACAAACCCTATTTTCACTGTATTTGATGTTGGTATAATTTGGGGAGGGGAAGGGAAAAAACAAATTGATTAAATAAGGATACAGATTGACCCACTGCAACAATGAAATGTACAAGACTCCAAGTTGAAAAACGAACTTTACAATTTGGGGAGGGGGAGGGAGTGTAGTCTAGAGATGGGAGGGCAGGGATGGTAGAGGAAAAACAAAGGAGGGGGCAACAATGCTTGATAGGAAATGTACTCATTACCTTGCCCATGTAATTGTAACCCCTCTGTATGGTATTTTCACAATTAAAAAAAATGTACTCATTACCTTGCTCATGTAATTGTAACCCCTCTGTACAGTATTTTCACAATAAAAAGTTTATTTAAAATGATAAGTTTTTGACAAACTAGCATTCCTGCAAGTTTGAATCAAGTTATGCATGTTTTCCACAAAAGCAAAATTAGCAATATGGCCAAAGATGCCATTACATTTGTATGCCAATTTTTGGTCTACGATGCCCTTATTTTTATAATTTATTTACAGTATGTTCTTTAAACACTAATTTTAACAAGGCAATTTCACAAACCAAGACAGACTAGAGCACTGCTCTGGGTAGACACTTTAAAAAGCAGCAAGTACCATGGATGATGGGTGAGAAAAAAATACATACTAAAAATACATGGACAGGAGGGCAGAGAAATACACTCCCCAAACCTGCCTATAACAGATAGCAACAAAAATAGTGGTCATGGACAGGTCCCCAAGTCATCAAAGTATCACACTGTGTTTAATATATTCAGAGGACAAATTGAAAGCATCATGCATTGTATGTTAAAGGCATAATGAATTGTCAAAACCTTTCATGGTCAAAAGACAAAAAATAGTCATATATTTATGAATAATCCAACTTTTAACAAGTAAACTCACTCATATACTTCATTATGCCCCTTTCATCAAATAGCACAGTGCTACTCAAGCAACTGTCACCTGTTGAACTGTGCACAATACTTCAATATGGTGAGTTAATTATGTGTACCAGATGCACTGTTGGTGGGCTACTCCAGAAACAAAGTTCTGGAAAGACAATCTCTAAGTCCAGAGAACACAACCGCAAGATGCTGCCTACGTGAAAATGGGATGCAGCTGGGGTTATGGGCAAATGGGCCCCAATGAAGGTGTTACCTTTGGTCATCTTACATCATTTAACTGTGCGTGGGACAGGGAAGGGGACCCATCTGCCTGTCTTGAGATCTAGGCCTGTCTAGAGAGGGGCATTACAGCCGTCCCTAAAAAGAAGGGGTCGTGCAAAGAGAACTGTCAGGATACCAGGCCATGGTTAGGGCAGAGCAGCAGCTCTGGGAGACGATCAACCACCAGCGAGCTGAAAGAGTTCTCCAACTTTCCCTGGGCAGAACGCACCGCACTGGCTTGAGACCTGCTCACCTGAGGTTACTTTTGGATCTCACGCTCGTGCACTGCCAGAGTCTGGGTGAGATTTATAAAAAGGAGCCAGACTTGTGCGGCACGGGCGAACTCTGTGCGGGAGGGGGGGCGGGGGGGGGGGTCATCGCGCGCGCGCACGCGCACACGCGCGCGCACACACACACCCCGCCCGCCAACCCGGCCTGACTGGCCGTTCCTCCGGCCGGGACGAGGCCGGCTCCACAGGCCCGCGGACCCGGAGAGACTTCCGCGCCCTGCCCAGCAACCGCCCGGAGCGCGGAGCCCCCTCGCCCCGGCCTGCCCCGTGAAGAACCCGGGAGGGTGACTGGGATTCAAGAGAGGGCTAGGAAGCGAGCGGCGGGGGCCGACTGACCCCGGAACCTCACCTCTCCGCCGCGGCACAACAGGGGGCCACGGCGCAACTGGTCCCGCGCTGGGCTTCCGGCTCCCGCCTGAACTGTTAAACTTCGGCGGCCGGAAGTACCGCCCCCGGTGACGTCACGGGCGAGGCTTTGGCCCCAGGCGGCAGCCAGGGCGGGCTAGGCGGAACCGCGAGCTGTCACTCTGGCGGGGGCGGGGCTGAGCATCTGTAAGGGAAGTTATCCCAGCTCCAGGGCAGAGACTTAGCATCTGTGGGTTCCCTCCACCCGGTCAGCTCTGCCTTCTGCCCCGGCATTCATGTGTTTGGTGTCTATTGTGTGCCAAGCACTAGGTTAGACTCTTGAGTGTACACTTTTAGCCTAGCGGGACCAGAGTAGAGTGAATGTTCTTAGTCCTTGGCCTGGTGGAGCTTAAGAAGTTAATGTTAACAAATCATAACATAAATGAAAAAGAACAGAAAAGTGGAGCAGGACTGCCAGTTCGAGCTCAGTCTAGCCTAAATAGCAACACCTTGTCTAAAAAAGAAAAAAATCAAAAGAAAAGTACAAGATGTATGAAAGCCCACCATCAGGCAAATTACCGTAGATGTGGGTTTAGGAAAGGGTTCCCCAAAAGCAGCAGCTGTGGAAAGTAGATCATACAACCTGACAACTATAAATCAGGCAACACCCACATGCTAAGTCACCCAAATACTAAGCATCTGTGGTAACCAACTTCAAACCTGTGATCTTTCAGAGAGTGCTGTAAGGTCAGGAACATCAAACTCCATCTGCTTGGGAATTCTTTTAAAGGGAATGCTTCTCAGTGTGGAAAGGCAGGTTGCTGAATTCTTGTCAAAAGTCCCTTGCTATAGGGCCGTTCTGTAGTGGAACAGACAATATTTTGCAGAGAATACTGATAAGCCATCATTTCTTGTGCTAAGTGTTAATCCTTCAACTCAAGTACACACTAGACGTGTTTCTGAGCTATAGGCAAATCCCATTATTTGTGCCGTGGGTCAGTAACTGGAAACTTAATAAATCCATATTTTTTCAAGGAGAAATTCAAGTTCTAATCAAGTTCTAGAGTATAATGGGAGCAGCAACAGGGTAAATATTATGGGCAGCAGCTGCCTTCATTGTATAGTAGGCAGTTCTTGAGGGTAAATTGATGGGATACAAATTTGGGCACAGCAAGAGTAAGGAAATGGAAGTAGGAAGAATTGGGGCAAATGAGGAAAAGAAAGCTTAAAAAGAGGAAAGACAAGTGAATCTCTGAAAATTGAAACCAGCAAGAAAGTTGAGAATAGTCTATAAGAAAAAATGAAGGCATCAAGAAAGGACTATTTCTGGGAAGTGGGGAATGTTTCATTACTCTCGAACGAGACCAAAAGCTACAAGAAATGCCAGTTGTGCTAATTATAAATGTATATGTGAACATCAAAGAGTTTCTAAGTATGTAAGGGAAATCATCAGAACTAAGGGTAGGAAAGGGGATGTAATAACCATTGTTGGAAACTTCAACAATAGCCAAAAGAAACTTAATAAGGAAGGAAAATAGGAAGGAAGGGAGATAAAGAAAAAGAAAGAAATGTAACTCTTTTTATTTACAGATAATATTGTGCAGTAGAAAATCAAAGGGAATCCAGAAAAATAGAGCTTTTATAATAATAAGTAAATTAAATAAGTAAATTTGGCAAAACTTGTATTAAATCAATATATAAAATTAGAATAGTATTTCTTTTTTTTTTTTTGTCATGGGGCTTGAACTCTGGGCCTGGGCACTTCCCTCAGTTATTCAGCTCAAGGCTAGCACTCTACCACTTGAGCCACAGCACCACTTCCGGTTTTCTGACCCTAAGATATGTATTCAAGTGTTTTTTTTTCCTTTCCTGCGATTGTTTCTAACACATGTATAAGATGATTTCTTTGTTGCTTTCTATGTCCCTCCCCCACAGTATAACCCCTGCTTTCACTGTATTTGATGTAGGTATAATTTGTGGAGGGGAAGGGGAAAAACAAATCGTTTAACTAGGGATACAGGTGGACCCATTGCAACAATGAGATGTACAAGTCTTTATGTCCAAAACGAACTTTACAACTTTGGGGGGGGAAGGGAGGGGGGAGGATGGGAAGGGATGAGAAGGGGAAACAAAGGAGGAGGCTACAATGCTTGATAAGAAATGTACTCATTATTTTGCCCATGTAATTGTAACCCCTCTGTACAGTATTTTCACAATTAAAAAAAAAAAAGAGCCTCATGGACTTTCCTGCCCCGGCTCACTTTGAACCACAATCTTCAGATCTCAGCCTCCTGAGCACCTAGGATTACAGGCATGAGCCACCAGGGCCCAGCAGTATTTCTTTTTATTGTCTTGACAATACTTGGGTTTGGACATAGAGCCCTGCAGATGCTCTACTATTTGATCTATGCTCCTTTTTGGCTTAAGTTGTTTTTCTGATAGGGTTTCACTTCAGACAACCTTTCTCCTAACATGTCTGACATATCACTGAGATTACAAATGTTTGACACCATGCCCAGCTTGTTCTTTGAGATAGGAGTCTCACTAACTTTTGCCAAGGATGGCCTTGACCCTCAACGATCACAATCTCTACCTCCCAGATATTGGTATTATAAGTGTGTTGCCACCATGCCCAGCTTTTTTTTAAAAAAATAGTGTTTTATATATTAACAATGAACAATTGAAAATAAAAATGACAATTCCATTTTAATAACCTCTAAATTTGATCAAAAATCTGTGTGATAACTAGTCATTGAAAACTATAAAACATGTCAAAGAATAAGTCAGAAACTGTTTAATATTCACTAATTCAAAGTTTCAATATTGTCAGAATGTCCATTTTTTCCAGATTAATCTGCATATCAATGTAATCTCCCAAAAAATTTAAAACACTTTTCTGGGAAACTGTATCTGATGTCAATCTAGATTCAATACAAACTATGCCCAGGTGGTAGAAACAGGTGCTTGGTGTGGGGAGAGAAGTCAGGGCAATAGTTAGTAGTGATGGAAATGTTACTGATTGTTATAGAATTTCAGGTTGGTTTCAATATATATTGGTCAAAATTCATAGAGAAGTGTATTTTATGTTTATTTTTTCTTTGTATTATTATCTTTAAGAAGATTTACAGAGGAGCTGCTATTTAATGAAGCAGCTTATGAATACATATATCTTGATCAATGTCACCCCTTTCAATATTCTCACCCATTCATTCCTGCTTCCCTCACTCTTCTTAATTTATAAGATGTACATTGGATTCTGACTGCATTCTCCTCCTTTTTTATTGATACATTTTGCATATTAAGAAAGATTCTAGAAACTAAGAGCTCTTGGTCATTAGAGAAGAAAGTGGCATCCTTCACTTATAAAAGAAAAGCAAATTAATATTTTAAAGAATTACAAACTAAACCATAACATGGTCAAATCTCAGAACACTGGCTTTGAAGAGTAGAGTTTAAATATTCTCAAAACTCAGTGGGAAAAAATGTGACAGTGTTTATTATTCCCATAATCCAAATGGCTTCCATGTTAAGGGTAACAGGAGAATGTTGATACAGTGGATCAATAAATCTCTATTTCTGAGCAAAATGTGTACTACCCTAGAATTACCTATCCATATCATTACTCAGGTTTCAGAGAACAAATTTAAAAAAAGAATGCACTAAAATGAAGGAGTAAAAAAAAAAGATGGCTTCTAGCCTGAGAGAAGTAAACCGAGTCCCCACAATGTAAAAATGTTGGTGTAGGAAAAATCCAGGATAACAGATGAGAGTAAGCTAAAGTAAAACCAATCTAAACAGCAGTTAAAACACTCCAGAGAATGTATAGTCAAGAACATTCATATGCATGCATGCACACACACACACACACACACACACACACACACACACACACTTTCTACTCTGCTACAAATAATAGCTACATAGTCATGTGCTCATGAAATACTAAACAGAATTACAATATCTTTGTATCGGGTGGATAGGAAGGTCAGAAATGCACATGTTTGTGTGTGTGTAAGTGTGTGTGTGTGTAACTGAGGTGGAAATAGGTGCTAAAAAATTAATTCCTCATCTTCTGTGGTGAAAAGTCAATAAGTAAACTCTAAAATTGGAAAAAATAGGTCATATAGAGATGGGGATGGATACCTAAAGTACATACAACTACAGAGCTTTAAAATATACCCTAAAAAAAGTAGTCCGTCACTCTTCACCATCACCACCCACTAACCACCCCTGCCAAAAGCACATTTGTCATTTTTGTTTTGACAACACACATTTGTAGACCAAATTCCTTGAAAACCATGCAGGTTACTGTAGTCATCAAGATGAACAGCATTCTAGTTCAGAAAAGTTATCAAAAGAATAAAACTTGTGATACAAATTGCCATGGTGTTTATCAGGCACTGGGAAGTCCTAATGGAGGAAGGAACTTTTCCTGGCTAAGGGTCTAAGGATAGCTTTAAATGGAAGCAACTTGACCTGTGCTCAAGAAATACAGTGGCCCCTAGGGAGGTGGAAAGTAGGAGGAGGGAATAGAGAAGGAAAGGGATGAGAAGGAGAAATAGAGGGGCTGAATATGATCAAAGCACATCTTATACATGCATGGGAATGTTATAATAAAACTTACTATGTACAATTTAATACACACCAATAAAGCCTCTAAAATCTAAAACAAAAAGATTGAAATACAGGGCTCTTCTCTTACCTGAAGAGGATACTTTTCAAGCCTTCCAGTGAATGTTTGAAACTAAGGCTAGTACTAAATCTTGTATGTCTTTGTCTTGTTTTATTCCCCTATGCATATATCCCTATAATAAAAGTTAATTCATACATTAGGCACCAAAGGATTTATGACACTAATAATCAACAGATCAAGTACAACAAAATATTGTTTTAAAAGTTATATAAGTATGAAAACAGTTATTTAAGTATGATCTTAGCCTTTCTGTCTCTCAAAGTATCTTCATGCACTTTCCTTACCCTTCTTGTGATGACATGAGCTAATACTTAAAAGCAGCACTTTACTGATGTCTTCTCTTTGGCATATTTGAATTGCCACCATCACTATTCTTGTATTTTGGGGT